CAGCACCAGCACCAGCACCAGCACCAGCACCAGCACCAGCAGCACCAGAAGAGCGGTCGCCAGAAGGGCGGTCGCCAGGGTCGGGTGTCGACTCCATCAGGCAGACGTGCACACGGACTGATGTGCACGGAGTGCGTTGCGCGGAGTGTATGTGTGTGTGGCACGGACTGCTGCTGTGTGCGTGGGCACGGTTATTTGTGTGGCTGCTGTAAAAGTAGAACAGAAAAACAGAAAAATACCGCGACTCCGTGGGAGAAAAACCGTCACTCCGTGGGAAAAACCGTGACTGCATTGCGGTTTTATCCGTGCTTGTGTGACGGAGTAGCTCAAACCGCTCCGTGAAAAAACCGCTTGTGCGGTTTTTTGGGAAGCCCCACGGAGCGGAGCGGAGCGGTTTATCCGAGGGCAAAATTGTCACGGAGCGGAGCGGTTTTTTTGTTCATGTCACGGAGCGGAGCGGAGCGGTTTTTTCTGGAGGGAAAATCCCACGGAGCGGAGCGGAGCGGTGTAAACCGCTCCGCTCCGTGGAAAAAAACCGCTCCGTGCAGAACCCTGGGTTTTTTGAGCATCAAATTCTTAATTAAGTGCCATATTCTTAAGTGCGGGCCGGCACTACATCTTTCATAATAACGCCCGTCGTCACACAGCCTCCTGAAGTGCGGGTCTACTGCTGTTGTCTACAGCAGCAGCAGCTCATGTCACAAAACCCACGGCTGCTCCTTGGGCTCGTGGTCGCGACTACAGTGAATTCTTCGATGCCCCAACCCCAGCGACAGACCTAAGTGCACCAACACACCCGTCGCTACAGCATACTGCATGGTCAATTGATAATGTAGCATCTCAGGTTAGGACTGCGACGCCAACATATCTACATGTTGTATGCCTGCCGTAGGTTGCACAAGATATCACACCCCCCTGGATCGATTTTCGAAGCTCGATATCTCCACAGGGAAAACAGTGACGGTGCCAAAAATGGCGGCGTTGGAGCCGTCTCGTCGGGAGCTTTTCGAAAACGTACACTTCATTTTCGGCATCCTATTCGTCGTGGAGTAATCGAGCTTTCAAAATCGGTCCAGGGGGTGTGCTGTCTTATGCAACCTACGGTATGTGCCCGCTACAGCAGTACAGCAGTAGTACGGGCTACTGCTGTTGTTGTACCGTGTTGTTGTTGTTGTTGTTGTTGTTGTTGTTGTTGTGGTTTATCACATTAGCTCTATAGTCCACAAAAAATGGGGAGCCCTTGGTCTCAAAACCCGGCACACACGACGCCGCGGGGAATCAAAACAAACATAGATAGGGTACAAACCACTCGGAAAAAGAACACAAAATGACAGAAAGAAAAGAACAGGTATCGCACCAACCGTTCGAGAAAAGAGCCCTCGGAAACCGATCAAAATATAACAAAAACAAAAATAAAGGAGGATGTTTCCCACACCCGCCCAAAGGAAAAATCAAAGGGTAACGTACCAGCACCAGGCACTACGCACCAGGGCATGGGAGTAACGGAGCAAACAGGACAAAGAGGAGGCAGATTGGCAGGCAGCCAGACGTACAAAAACAAAGGCAACAGCAAAAGCGAGATCAACGTACCCAACACGGCAGGGAGGTCATGAAAAAAAGAAACACAGCACAGAGGCCGAAGGCAATACAAAGGACATACATAAAGGAGTATAGCATACAGCAGGGAGGGAAACAGGGCGCAACAACATCAGCCGGGTACATAGTTCGCCACAAGTGCTGCCTCGGCCGCCCTACTCGCTTCTACAGCAGTGCCCGGTCGCCGTTTCTTCCCCCCCACCGCCGCTTCCCCGACTCTCTTTCGCTTCGGTCCTGAGATGGCCGTACTCTCTGCTTCTGCTTCCCTCGCGCGCTGGCGCTTCGCGGACGTTTCCGCCTCCTGCCTGTGCCATTTCCTCATGAACCATGTCGCCACGTCCTCGACCTTGTTGTACCACACCTCCGGGTCCTTGGCGCTCTCTTTCCATTTCCCCCCTTCCTTTTCGTCTCCCATGTTGAAGGCCACGAGGTCCTCTCCTAGACGAGACACCCAGTCGCTCTCCTGCCCGCCCCGGTATCCCACGTCCCCTGCCATCGCTCCTGACAGCATGCGCGTAGGGAGGCGGTTGTCCTCCATGCGCATAGCAAAGCCCGTGAAACACAGTCTCGTTTGCGCACGGTGGCCTCGATGGTTTCCTCGCAGCCTGCCTGGATGAGGGCCTGGGCATAGGACAGGGGGCGGTCTGAGCGTTTCCGCTTGCTCCAGCCGATGCACCGTGTAAGGAACTGGCGGTGGGTCCCATTGAGCTTCGTGTAGTGCTCCGCTGTTAGGCTCCACGAGGCGCACCCATACAGGAGAGTCTCCACCACTTCAGCCTGGAGAAGCCGGATCTTGAGCTGGCGGTTGGCCCGTCGCCTGTCGTAAATCGAAGCACTGTTCCGGCGGTAGCACTTCCACGCTCGGCAGCTGCGGCTCGTGATCTCCCGGTCGGCCTTCCCGTCCGCGCAGATGAGTATGTGCGCACGAGAAAAAGAATAATTTTCATGCACAGGGGCGTGAAAATTTAGCCATGGCTGTCTGTTGTCTGGTGTCTGGTGTCTGGGCATAGGACAGGGGGCGGTCTGAGCGTTTCCGCTTGCTCCAGCCGATGCACCGTGTGAGGAACTGGCGGTGGGTCCCATTGAGCTTCGTGTAGTGCTCCGCTGTTTGGCTCCACGAGGCGCACCCATACAGGAGAGTCTCCACCACTTCAGCCTGGAGTAGCCGGATCTTGAGCTGGCGGTTGGCCTGTCGCCTGTCGTACATCGAAGCACTGTTCCGGCGGTAGCACTTCCACGCTCGGCAGCTGCGGCTCGTGATCTCCGGGTCGGCATTCCCGTCCGCGGAGATGGTACGTCCGAGGTACACAAACCAATCTGTCTGCTAAAGTGACTAACCATCAATTGGGCAAGAACGCCCCAGGATACATCAGAAAATACCAACATGGTAAATATATGGAGGAGGGGAAACCCGAAGTCCGGGCAAAACCCCTCAAGGAAAAACCCTTCCACCACAAAAAACCGTCGCTATCACAGCGGCTTACAACGGCCGCACTTACCAAAAGGCCTCTCCCAAGTGCTAGAAACTGCTACATCTACTCCGGCAAATTCATCAGCTTACGCCGGTGGTACTGCAGACTGACCCTGCTAAGGGCCTTGGTAAGGAGGTCCGCGTGTTGCTCCGTTGTCGGAACAAACTTGAC